GATTATGTGAAATAAATTATTATAAATTATAATGTTTTTACCTAATTATATAGTTAGCAAAGTTTTGAGAACCGGTCCGTGCAATCTTGGAGACCCTAGTCACCGATAGAAACATCATCATCATCAGCCTATTAATGTCCCCACTGCTGGGGCACAGGCCTTCCCTACGGATGGAATAGGGAGATTGGGCCATGACCCACCACGCGGGCGCAGTGCGGATTGGTGGGTGCTAACGGCTGCAGATGCAGCCGGGACCAACAGCTTAACGTACCTTCCGAAGCACGGAGGAGCTCGAGATAGTAAATTTTTGGTCACCCATCCAATGACCGACCACTGCGACAGTTGCTTAACTTCATCGATCGCATCCGAACGCGCTAACCACCTGCGCCATCGAGCTCCTAGATAGAAACATAATACTATTAATATGTAGTGATATTTCACTGTGATCTTCTGTAAGGCTTTGGCCCCAGGGGGGGTCATATAGTCGTGGTCAAGTCACAGTGGGTACAGATGGACCCAGCCCAGGGGGGGTCATGACCCCCTTGACCCCCCCTGGATCCGCCCTTACCCCTGACGAGTGTCCAATACTGTTCTGTTAGAGCTAATAGGGGTGATGACGGGGTACAGTAAACGAAATTCTATTTAGTCCGTCAGTTAGATGATCGAAAAATAATGGACACGTATTTTTTCTTTGGGCAATCAACCAAAAAATGACAAAGTTATAGCGCGTCAAAGTTTGGGAGTAGGGGCTCGTGACGCCACTTTTAAGTGAAAATTGTACCAAAACTGTGACGTAATGCGACTTTTCAAATCAATATATCTCTGCTATGTTTATATTATGTGAAAAAAGAAAAAATACGTGTCCAATACTTTTTGATAATCTACCTGATAAACGAAGAAAAAAAAATAGTCATCATCCCTATTAGAGCATATAACATTTCTCATTAATTCCGCATTATTAAAGTTAATATTATTATTTTTTGTATCAATTTGACAATACATTATTATTTTTTGCATCAATTTGACATACATTATTTATTTTAAATCAATTATCAATTGCACTATTTTTTATTGATTATTCATTGATTATTAATTCCATTTATTATTATTGATAATTAATTACATACATTGTACTTTTCTCAATTGAATGTTGTGTGTGCTTGTAAAGGCTTGCATATATGTCTTAGAATAAGTATTTTTTTTATTTTTCAATGTTTTTTTATTTAAGTACACCTATTAAATAAATAAATAAATAACATGCTATGAACTAATTCTCTTGAGATGTCTATTGACATTTCCAACTTGACCTTCCCAAATAAAATTGTGTTTTTTTTACATATTTATATTCAGTTACATTGAAGACCAGTTGGTTGGAATAACGAAGAAATAGGAAAGCCAATTAAAAGATTCCGTGTTATTCTGAATCTTTTCCTCTTTTTAAAATTTGTTGCCGAGAATATGCAACTTTGCTTACAAAACTCAAGGACACTCTTTACTCTTGTAAAAAGTTCCACTGTAGTGTTGCACAAAGTACTATAATATTTTGATTACCATATCGATAGTCAGTGATTTGCGATTGAAGAAAATTAAACTCAGTTACTCCGTGATCATGGCGCTTGCAACAGTGTCGAAATATCGGAAACTCGCTAAAAACAAGGTACATCGTAACAATCCCGTAAAAAACTTATCTTATACATATATAAAATTCTCGTGTCACAATGTTAGTTACCATACTCCTCCGAAACGGCCTGACCGATTTTTATGAAATTTTATATGCATATTCCGTGGGTCTGAGAATCGGCTACTATCTATTTTTCATATCCTTAAGTGATAATGGTTGTCCACTTGTAACGTAGTGTTCTGAAACCTAAAATATGCCTTCGCGCCAAAATTCAAACTATTGGGTATTGTAACGTAGTCTTCTCATATGGGTCAGGAGGTATGTTATCCCAGAAATTGATAGAACTACGTTACACACCCCTAAAATTAAATTTATTTTGGACATTTTTTTAATTTGCTATTAAAAAATACATACAACACTAAATTTTCTCTTCTATCTCCTGCCCCTATTTTTATGGCGGTACGAAGTTCGCTGGGTCAGCTAGAATTACTATAAAATTAAACTATCAAAAAGTGAGTGAGACATTTGCCTTTTTAAAATACGAGTACCTTTATAGGTTTACTTATTTAAAGTTAATTAAATCAAATATGTACTATTGAAAGTATTATAAGTAATCATCATCGTAAAATTAGTTCTAAAATAATTAATAGCTTAATTACGGGGAGGATGAATTTTATTATCTCTTATCTATTAATCAAATCCGTCCGTCCGTCTGTCTGTGGTGCTGTTTCAGCGGCCAAACCGTAAGAGATAGATAAAGAGAATGTTTAAGTTATAAGTTAAGAATAGTCTGATAAGACTACAAACCGGATTTGAGTAACGTAGCACTTCCGGTTTTCGAGAAATCACGAATTTCAAACGAAACCACACAAAATCTCAGAAGTTCTCAATTAATTAAATACATCTTTTTTTTAAATCAGGTTTTGGTGCACATTTGGTTCACTGGTTTGCTAGTTTGTTCTAATATTAGAGGTACCACTAGTGATATCTTATATTTGAAGAAAATAAAATAAAATATTATTAGCGTCTGATTAGATTATTAAACTTTTAAGGCTTGTATCAGCATAATAAATACCAGATTAAACATAATAAATAGATTTTTTTTTAACTTTAACATAGTAAATAAATGAAAATTACTTAATGATTTTTAAGCAGAAACTTATCGATATCGAGACTTACGCAACGTTACTTATAACTTTATTTAACTTTGTCTGTCCCGGTTATTTGGGTTGAACTGCTAAAGTCAGTTGGGGCAAGAGTGCTATTATCTATCAATGAATATTCACAAACGAAGTTCAAAATTATGACGTCAACTTTGCAGCCCTTATTGATGAGAAAACTGCGATAATGGTATGAGGCAGTTAAGAAAAATTAAGCATGATTTTTATTTTGATTTATAACTATATTTATAATTTTTATTTTTTAAGCAAGTAACTGCTTGATTTTTAATTCTAAAGAAAACGTAACTGGATGTTTTTTATGTTTTTATTTTATTTTTAAGCATTTAACTGCTAGATGTTTTTTTTTCTAGTTATATTTTCTTTATTATTATATTGTTAGTTCAAGCATTAAACTGCTACATTTTGAAATCCAAAAAACAAAATTACTGGAGAGAATTCCACTCCAGTCCAGTCAGGATTTGAACTTGCACGTTCCGCGATCCGGGCGAGCCTTGCAGCCAAACAAATACTAGAGAGAAGAAGGGTTTGAGTCCTGTCTGCTGCTTGGACCGCTTGGAATTTTTTCTAGTAAAATCTTCTTTAGATTTTTACTGTGTCATGCCTGAATTGTGTGATGATTTTATTCAATTTTTTTAATGTTAAAAGGGTGGCAAACTAGCGTACGCGCACCATCAGGCCGAGATGTTAAGCGGCCACCATAACTTATAGATGCTTTATGCCTAACCTACCTACCCCCTTTTTTATACGCAGGCAAAAATACTGTTTACAAACGACGGCGCCTTTAAAAGGCACACCGCCGAATGGACCTCACACCTGGCTCCCGCAAGCCTTACAAGCCCCAGCAGTGGCTACCCAATAAGGACCCCGTAACACTTACGGGCGCTTTACGGCATAATATACGCTAAAAACCCTGCGAATACCCACTAAGCTGCTTAGCGCGAAGCCGCGGTGACGACGGCGCCTTTAAGAGGCACACCGCCGAATGGACCTCACACCTGGCTCCCGCAAGCCTTACAAGCCCCAGCAGTGGCTACCCAATAAGGACCCCGTAACACTTACGGGCGCTTTACGGCATAATATACGCTAAAAACCCTGCGAATACCCACTAAGCTGCTTAGCGCGAAGCCGCGGTGACGACGGCGCCTTTAAGAGGCACACCGTCGAACGGACCTCACACCTGGCTCCCGCAAGCCTTACAAGCCCCAGCAGTGGCTCCCACTGAGGACCCCGTAACTTTTACGGACGCTTTACGGCATAATATACGCCCCTATACTATAAACCCCTGCGAATACCCTCTAAGCTGCTTACCGCGAAGCCGCGGGTTTCCCGTTTAGGGATTCTTCCGCGTCATAGTCCCCTACCCCGTAGAGCCCAGGAACCTTACTTACCGACAGAAACACACTACCATCGAAAGGTAGTGTTCTTTTAATGTGCTCTTCTGTTAGGTGTAGGCTTCTTCCCCAGACGGGCGCTCCAATTTGAGCTGAAAACCCGCTACGACCCTACCTGTTTTCTTTGAGGTTTATTTTTTCCTTTTTTTATGGCATGCACGGTTTGTGCGTTCAGCCAATGTCAAGTAAAATACTTGGATGTCCTAGTCTTAAATTTCAATCATCTTCTTTTTTTTTTAACATTAGATAGAGTCTGTTCCCATTCTGGGCGTGGCGAAAAACGGAACTAACACTAAGATTTTTATTTGGCAATCAAACCCAGCAATCTGTAAAACGTCAAAGTTTTGTATTGATACGGATTTGTTTGTTGTTATGATTTCTTGCTGTTTTTTGTATTTAATCATGTCTAAAAGTGGTAAAAAACCTTACAAATACGGTAGAAAAGCACTACAGCGCCCTCTAATCTAAATCCCATTCTCTTTCCGCACAGGCTCTAGTCGGTGTGACGTATTCTAATGTTTCTTGGAGTTTATACGAAATGTATCGATATCTATTTCGATAAGCTTCTGTGAGGTAGTTAACACGACACTAAAGTTCTCACGTCCACTTGACCGGAATAGCGTATATTTTAAAGATTCCACTAATTCTTCAGTTGCGCAGACGGTTGTAACACAAAATCACACCAATTTTATTTCACAATATCCTATAAAATAAGACGCCCACCGCACATGATAAAATCCTGCCAAAAACTTCTTTCTTTGTAGTTATTTGTTAAACAAAATAATAAATTTATCATATAGTACTTACATGTGACATTGAGGGTGATGACGTCAGCTTTGGAGCCCCTGCTGGGAGCCATCGCGGGGTTGGTGGCTACGCAGGCGAGGGTAGCTCCGTTGTCCGAAACCGCTGGAGTCAGCTGCAGTAATGACACTGACGTGTGAGTAGCGTTACTCCAACTCTGTAAATAAGACATTGTTTAAGTACCCACTACCCACTACCCACGTCGCCACATATACGTCTCCTCCGAGGACAGAGCCACAAAGAGAAAAGGACGATCATTTTTAGTAGACCCATTGTTCACTCGTTCGACTGCCGAAGACCGCAACAAATGGAAAGCGATCGTCCACAAAATAATTCGTGGAGGTCACGACCCTTAGCAATGAGGAGCACGACACAAGGAGGGAGGAATAACATAAACAGATTTTGTTGGCAACAAAAGGCACTTTTTTATGTACCCAACAAGAATATGGCCCGCCTTTTGGTAAGCGGCCATCATAGTTTATAGACGCTTGCGATACCAAAGCTATCAAAGAAACCGTTGCCTAACCTAACCCCATCCCCTACCCTATGCAGTCCTGAAATCATACTCGCGGACAGACACACAAACTACCAAAAGGTAGTAGTAGTAGTAGTTATTTTCTGTGGTCTTCTGTAAGATGAAGATTACTTCCCCAGACGGCCGCTCCCATTCGACCCCCCACGACAACGGCTAACTAGAGCCGAGGTCCGAGCTAGAGACGCTAGTTGAGCCGACACCCTCAGGTTCGAGTGGTCTAGAAGCTCCAGACGGAGAGGAGACTGGAATACCTCTAGCGGCACTCGCCAATTCTCGGCTTGATGTCTACTTAGGATCTCGCCGTCCCCAAACCCGGTGACGCTGTAAATTTCATCTGCGACCAACAGCATATTCACTCAAAAAAAAAAAAGCTATTCGAGCGAAAAGTCGCTATGCCCTATCTCTCCGCTAAGATATGGCAAAGAACACCGTAGGTTTAGGTCTTCAGAAGACACATGTCATACCTGATTGCTTTGCTGCGTGAGGTGTCTGTGGTCCAGCCACCATGCCAGGTCCGGCTGAGGGTAGGCGCCATTGGCGGTACACTTCACCAGAGCCGGTTTCCCAGCCTGCAGCACATCTCCAACCGTGCCTTCCACCCAGTATATAGACACGTTGTACGCTGGCACTGGTGACAAAATACACGAATCAAATAAATAAATAAGAGAGAGCTTAACTGAACGGAAATTTCGATGGCGCAAGAAAGAAAGAAAATGTTTTATTCAGTGCAGGTCTCCCTATTTTACAGGAGATCTCCTGGTTTTCTATTTTATGCCATTAAGAATCGGAAATAGTACGCCTCTGCATCTACTGTTTTTTCTTATAGCTCTTTGAAATGAAATGAAATGAAAAATCTTATTGGCCAAACAGAGACAAAATATATATAAAAAAGAAACTTAACCTAAGAACAAAAATTAATCACTAGATTTAAGACGGACAATCAGCTTATGCTGATACAATGAGAAAATATTCTCTCACTGTATCAGCGCTGGTATTCTGGCAGGGCCTGTGCGAGGACGTGTTAGGCGCTATAAAGCAAACAAAATAACAGGTATATTTGGTGTCGATTCTGGTGTGACTCACCAATCCCCAAAACCAAATTCAACACCAGTCCTTTTCATTCTGTATAGCGAATGACAGGAATGCACCGCTGTCAAACACAAGTTTAGCTTTAGAGAGATTAGATTCTTTCTATACTATGTCTACTTTCTACTACATCTACTGCTTGTTTCTATAACGACTCCTGATTTTTTAAAATCGGAACTTGTAACACTGATTCAGTGACACAAATTAATACATTAAACATTACTAGCAAACCAGTGAACCAAATGTTCACCAAAACCTGATTTAAAAAAAAATGTATTTAATTAATTGAGAACTTCGGAGATTTTGTGTGGTTTCGTTTGAAATTCGTGATTTCTCGAAAACCGGAAGTGCTACGTTACTCAAATCCGGTTTGTAGTCTTATCAGACTATTCTTAACTTATAACTTAAACATTCTCTTTATCTATCTCTTACGGTTTGGTTGCTGAAACAGCACCACAGACAGACGGACGGACGGACGGACTTGGCTAATAGATAAGAGATACCTAAATACAATAATTTAGGTCTAAAGATTTGCGTCACTAAAAAGGATGAACGCATGAGGTTAGTACGTTCGGTTTTTGGTCGTGGAAGTAAAGGATCTTTCGCAATGGACTCTCCACATGGAATATATTCCGTAATATAAACCAGTATATTGGCCAGTGCTAATGACGTCATGATTCGACGTTATACTGGTGAATTGTTCCGAAATATACAGGCCAGTGCACTGACGTCATAAATCGACGAAATTATAAAAATAGTGCGAATAATGAAGATTTTTTATTCACCTCATCAATTAAAAGGAATTCTTTTTGTTCGGATGCCATTATTGTTCTTTAAATAAAAAAGAAATAAAATTCGAATGCATCGCACGCACGCTCGGTCATACGTCATTCGTTTTCCCGGTAAAAATATGGTAGCATACCAGTACAATATGGCGTCGGATTCGTGGCGTCATAACCACTGGCCAGTATACTGATGTGTATTTCGGATTACACCCAGGGTAAGTGGTGGGATCAGTGTAAGCAATGGCGTTAGTGAAAATTAGATTTATCATTTCTTTTACATTATAGCCTTTATTAGCAACCCATGTTTACGAGTTCAGTTAACCCAATGAGCGTAGCGATAACTCCACAAAAGATAAGTGTCTAATTTAAAAAATTGGTTTAGCATATCTTATGAATCAGCGATTCAGTAATCGATTGTCAACCGCCCACGAATCGCTGACGCAATCGTCAGAGATTATGTTAATTTGGCGAGCAAAATAGACCCGGGTTGCTTGCTGGTCGTTAATTTTTGCCGGATTCTCTTTCATTTTTATAATGATTGGAGGGAATTATTTTAACGTTTGCTCGTGGTTATTTCTTAAATAAGAGCTCTTCCGTAACGGTAAAAATAACAGCTGAACGTCGGAAAGGGTTGAGGGTGAAGCCAAACGAGCGTAATTTTGTGAGTTGTGAGTCGCTTATTTTCGGTCACTTATTTTACGTTCAACTGAATTGAACAACTCATTTTGCGTTGTCGTGTGGCACCAACTGTCTTTTTGTATGAAACCGAATGCAGCAGAATTTCTGCGACCGAAATTCTGCGACTCACCACTCACAAAATTACGCTCGTTTGGCCTCACCCTGACCCTCGAATTGGTTAAAAAAAAATACGGAGTTTTGGGCGCGATTTCATCGAGTGCGGTTGGCGTCTTATTTTAATTATTCCTAAATTCGTTCATTGTGGATATTGTGAAGTAAAATTCGTGTGATTTTGTGTTACAACCGTCTGCGCAACTGAAGAATTAGTGAATTCTTTAAAATATACGCTATTCCGGTCAAGTGGATGTGAGAACTTTATTGTAGTGTTGGCTACCTCACAGAAGCTTATCGAAAAAGCCAACTTCGTGTCAAACATTCCAAGAAACATTAGAGTGCGTCACACCGACATTCTAATGTTCGGCCTGCAAAAATGCTTCTTCACGCCTCTCTTAAAGAACCCAAAATTATAGGAAGGGGGGAACACGTGCGCGGGTTGACAAACAAAGAAATGAGTCACCAAAGGAGATTGCTCAGTTTCCATACATGTTTGGCCTAAAAATCAATAACCATGAAAAATTGTTTCCTAGATTCGAAATTATATATAAATTACCGTAGAAACGAATATTATCGACGGCCACTCCTGGGAACTTCTATAAACCATATACACTGAATGATTTTGAGGTTATGTTTGCAAATAGGCACATAGGTACTAGAATAATAAAAACCAAATAACTTATATAGGAAAATAGGGCAATCAAGCCAAGTACCGATATTATGTATTAGATTCAGGTATATAGAGCATGTAAAATAACAGATAATTGCCTGTTTTTAAAATTAATGCACAAGAGTAAGTTTTAAAATCATGATTATGCCATTGCGACTTTCAGAAGCAATCTTGTTTCATTTGACAAGTGTCTAACACTAATTACACTAACAAAATGCATGTCAAGGAACTGGTACCTGCTTACCTATGTTATGAGAAACATGGAACTGTTATCATAATTTTATAAAAACCAATAGGATATTTTCTTAGTAATAATTAGGTTTATAATGGTAAAAGGTAATTCTAATGTAATAATATATTGCGTAGGTTCATGATAGTTCTGATCAATGTGTGAAATATGTATATTCCTGACATAGCTTAAATATTCTGATAAGGTAAATTAATGAAATAAAACAACGTAAGTACTTTTATGTTGCGTTTAATATTACATATCATCTACATTTTGAATTAAAATATCATCGAAATATTTTATCAATCTTTACAAAATAGATTTGTTTTGATGTTATATAAACAACCTCGATCAGTCTTTGTGAATGTTACTACACCCATAGCCAATAAAAATGATTCGTATGTTTTCCAAACCGGTAAAAATAGAAGTCCTTTTTTAAAATTAATATATTATTTAAAGGTGGCCGTTAAAATCTAATGACTGTAAAATAAAGTATAAATTACGCCAAGAATTACTGTATATGTCAATATTTTATTTGCATTTAGGCCAATTTGACCAATCTCCATTTCTTTCTTCGTGTAGAAATAGTGGCCACAGTAAGTCGGTTGCAACGTAGGGCAGCGCACGTGGTCCTCCGAAGAAAAGGTGGTGGAGGAATAAGGGAGAATAGCTCCTCAGAACACTCGCCGTGTATAGTCAGTAGAATGCGCTTAATCACCATTAAGCACTCCACATGTGGCACCCCACATCACGGCGTAATTGTAGAGACTCGAGTTTCTTAGTTACCTCTTCATCGCCAATGATGCGGGCAGCGCGCCGCTGCAACCTAACCAAGGTATCAAGTAAGTACTTAGCGGAGCCATCCCAGAGGTGCGAGCAATATTCCACGCAGGACAGCACTTGCGTTAAAACTCATGTTGTATAAATACAACAAGCATAGTTGCTCGGGCGTGAAAAAACGCCGCACCTTGTTCAGTACTCCGAATTTGCGTGAATCTGTTTTGATCACGGTTTCGATGTAGTCCTTTGGATTCAGGTCTGAGCGAACTTCCATACCGAGCATGGCAATATTGTATAATATTACCATTACATCATGCAGGATGCATGGGCCTAGCATTCAAGTAATAAAAAAATTAATATGTCTTTTTTTGTGCCACTAAACAGGCTCTGCTAGAATAACAGCCCAATGTCGCATCAGCTAATGCTGAGGCAGGGTCCTGGTTAGCCCTGAGATTTTTGAATTTGTATCTGTAAATGTGTTAATGACGTGTTGACGACCTCCGTGGCCGAGTGGTTTGTACGCCGGGTTTCATGGCGTCGCCGACTCGAGAGGTCCCGGGTTCGAATCCCGGTGGGGGCAGATATTTGTGTGATGAACAAAAGCATTTGTACTCCAGTCATGGATGTTTAAATATGTATTTCTATATAAATATACTTATATATGTAAATTATGTGTATTCTATCCGTTACCCTAGTATCCCATAACACAAGCCTTATAGTGCTTACTTTGGGGCTAGGCTAATTGGTGTGTGTTGGAAATATTTAAAAAAAAAAAAAAAAAAAAATGAGGGTTAATAAAATATATTCTTATTTATTCTATATATACCAATCATTATGATTGAAGGATGATGTTTTTGTAATAGCGTCGTAAGAGAGTTTCGAAATTATCCGAAACTTGGGATCGTGCCCTCAGATTCGCCACGGGGCGTCGCGGGCAGGTCGACACGCCGTGCCATGTCATGCCGATGCTAACTAAAGCTGTCCTCAAATTGCCGGAGATTTAGTTAACTGGGATGGCATTTGTGCCCAATAGCATTAATAGTTTAGACGGGCGAACAAACGCGAACTTGACGGACATCCAGTGATGACGGTACGGATATTAAGCGGTTACGACGAAGAGGTCTCGTACAATTAAGCGAAACTATTCGGGGCGGCCCACAATCAATGTTGTTGTATTATTGTTTTGTTTACTTTATGCTACGTAGTCGTGTTTACGGACGAAACGGCCACTAAATTGGGTAGTTTACGGGAAATTGGATCGATTATTCGCAACGAACTTCTTGGGG